CCCCTTCCTGTCAGGCACACACCACCTGCCACTGTACTGTGTAATCTACTTATTGCACCTTTCCTGTTGACGGCCCTTGTCTAGCATGTAATCCTGGCGAGGCTCTCTGCTGTATGCGATGACCCGTGCCTGGCCCCCAGCAGGCCTCCTGTACGTGCCTGTGGAGGGAGTGCATGCCCGTGGGCAGGCGCAGGCCGCCCTGCTCCCATCACGGGGTGGAGGTGGTCAGGAGGATGCTGGCTGTGTGTCCTGTCTGTCCCCCAAGCTGGGGCTGCAGGGTTCTCAGGCTTGGCACCTAACTCTGGCAGCAGTCCTGCCTGGCTGGGTCCACACGGGAACTCTGAGGACCCCGAGGGCTGAGCCCTGGGATGGGATGGGGCCTCTTCAGATGACCTCCCAGATGTGAACCTGGCTACAGGGAGAAACGGTGCATTTGCTCAGCCCCCTGCAGGAGCTTGGGGTCACTCTCTGAGGAGTGAGTCTGCGGAGGGGCAGGAGATGGCAGTGATGGAACCAGACCTGAAGCCCTTCTACCTTTTGTTTCTCCCTAGAATGGAGAGGGTCCCTCACGGTCACAGCATATAGTAGGTGTTCATGAAACTAGTAGGCCCACAGATGGCTGCCCTTGGGAGTCATCACTGCCCTCCGAGGCAAGAAGACCCTGAGTGATTGTGGCCACCGGGCCTTGAACTATCCTCAAGGGCAGGCTGTGCCCAGCCACTGTGCCTGGCCACCCTGGTCCCAGGGCCTGTATAGGGCCTGGCAGCACAAAGTGCAGGTCTGGGCAGAGCAACGCGTCGTGGCCCAGGTGTGCCCGGGGGTCCTGGCCTGCTGCAGTTGCCAAAGTGCCTAGTTGTATGGCCCTGAGAACACAGCTGCCACCCGCTGGGCTGCTTCCCAGCCCCACGCTCACCATCCCGCTGCAACACGGCGTCCTAGAAAGACGATTCCAACAGAGGCAGCCCGAATCCTTCCTCTGCCATTATCTAGCCTTAACTTTGGGAATGTTAATGAGCCTCTGTCTGTGAGTGCGGGAGGCAGTGAACCCCTCTGGTGGTGGACTTGCTAGGATTAAATGAGATAACACATGCCATTTGGGAGCACAGATTGGGGTCTGGATTCAGATCCCAGCCCACTGTGTGTCCTTAGGCCTGGTCCCTAGCCTCTCTGGTCCCAAGGTCTTTGTGCCACGAGATGGCTGGGTGGTCTCTGGGATTCCACCAACCAAGTTTCCTGCCCATCCTGTCCCCTTTGGTCCTATCTGGGCGATCAGCCCCAGGCTCTTCCCACCCCAATAGGGGGCACCCTCCCCGCAGCTGTCCAGCCTTCCCGCAGCTAGAGCCCGGGTCTGGGGGTGGGGCCCTGTGTCAGTCAGGAACTAACTGGCAGCTGCATGTCCCTGTGGCTGCCATGGGTCCCAGCCTTGTCTCTGCCTCCATCTCCAGTCTAGCTGATCAGAGGGCAGGACGCAGCAAGGATGGGGGCGCAGGGAGATGGAGGCAGAAAGGAAGCTAGGAAGGCAGGAATCCATCTGGCAGGCTGACCTAGATGGACTACGCTTTCCAGAGCGCACCCACTTCCGTTGCCCGTTGACAGTCGTTCATCACAGTACCCCACCTGCAAGGCCAGCAGGGCAAGTGTTTTTATTCCTATTCCCAGAGGAGGCGAGGGAGACCCAGGGTGCTTGAGACTCACTCGTGAGCCCGCTGCTTGTCGATGGCTACACTGCACAGAAACTGAGCCCGGGGCCCTGAGCCCCACCCGGTGCTCTCCACACTCGCCTCTGATGAGCCAGGGGCCAGAGAGGACCAGTGTGGGGACGAAGCTCAGGCCAGTGGCTCCAGAAACTGGTGTGTTGGGTCTGATGCTGCCAGCTGCTCTAGAATCCCTGCCTTCGAGGAGTTAGAATCTTGAGAAGAAAGAAGAAATACTGGGGAAAGAATTAGAGAACAAAGACTTGGGACATGTGAGGTCTGCAAGGACTGGAGGGGACAAGGAAAGGCTTTTGGAGGAGAGGGCTCTTGAAATGGGCCTCCGAAGGACGGGGATTCTCTCCACCAAAACAGGAGGAACTCAAGTCCATTTGAACGACAGGAAAAGGAAATCGGGGGTGCATCCAGGTGTTCCCACAGCGATGTCAGGAGCGGGGCTGGCTCCCGCTGGCTCCTCCTCCTCTGGCTGTCCAAATTCTCCCTGGGGGTAGCAGCTCCTGACTTCACACGTCAAGGCTTGGAAACTCTAGTTGCAAGAGAGAATTCGTTATCTCAGTAGGCTGCAGAAAAGTTCCAGGACAGAGTCACGCTGGGCCAGCTGGGGTTGTGTACTGGACCCCAGATCTGGAAGGAGTGGCAATGGAGCAGGCATCGCCCACAGCTGGTGAGTGGGGTCTGGATGGAGGGCAGACAGGAGGGGTCCATCTAACCTGATGAGAGCTGGCCAGAGGAGGGAGAGACAGGAGTCCAGCCCAGGGAGCTGGAGGCAGGAAGTCTAGTGGACCCAGCGACCTACTCTAGGGACCTGGGACTTGACCCTGAGGGGGCGCGAGAGCAGCAACAGGGTCTTACTGGGCATGGGCCATCATGGAAATTAGGGATTTGAGTTTGAGTCTGCTTCCCAGCTATGACCTTGGGCATGACATTTTAAATGTACAAGCCTCAATTTCTTCCCTTGAAAAATGGGCATATGCCTGGCCCAGTGGCTCACACTTGTAATCCCAGCACTTTTGGCAGCTAAGGCAGGCAGATAGCTTGAGGTCAGGAGTTCAAGACCAACCGGGTCAACATGGTAAAAGCCCGTCTCTACTAAAAATACAAAAATTAGCCAGGTGTGGGGGGAGTGCCTGTAGTCCCAGGTACTGGGGAGGCTGAGGCAGGAGAATTGCTTGAACCCGGGAGGCAGAGGTGACAGTGAGCCAAGAACCCATCACTGCACTCCAGCCTGGGTGACAGAGTGAGACTCTGTCTTAAAAAAAAGGAAAGAAAGGCCGGGCACGGTGGCTCAAGCCTGTAATCCCAGCACTTTGGGAGGCCGAGGCGGGTGGATCACGAGGTCAAGAGATCGAGACCATCCTGGTCAACATGGTGAAACCCCGTCTCTACTAAAAATACAAAAAATTAGCTGGGCATGGTGGTGCGTGCCTGTAATCCCAGCTACTCAGGAGGCTGAGGCAGGAGAATTGCCTGAACCCAGGAGGCGGAGGTTGCGGTGAGCCGAGATCGCGCCATTGCACTCCAGCCTGGGTAACATGAGAAAAACCCCCCTCTCAAAAAAAAAAAAACAAAAAAAGGAAAGAAAAATGAGCATAGCAACACCTACCTGGAAGTGCTGCAGTGAAGAGTTAGATGGCCTTTGTCCAGCACGCGGCTGCAGCTGGTGGTCAGCGAGGCACTGGAACGGGGCAGCCAGGTTCATGGAGCGCTTTCACCAGCGTTTTCTCCCTCCTCACGGTAGCTCTCAGGGTTCTCTGGATATGGGAGGTGACTGTTCAGCAGGTTTCAGACACTTGCCCAAAGTCACAAAGCTGGAAAATGGCAGAACCAGGACATGTACTTGATCAAATCCCAAGCTGGTGCTAAGACAGCACCCCCGGTGGGTCAGGGTGTCAGGAGGACGTGCGTCACCCAGAAGTCCCTCATTGGGAAAGTTAGCCTTTTCTTCCCTGGAGCCCACCAGCATTGCCTTAGATGGGCACCCAACCCACCCTGGGCACACCACTGATGTCCACCGCAGGCAGCCTCTTGGAGGCGGGGCCTGTGTGATCCCAGCTGAGCAGATGGAGGAGCCCTCCTTTGCTCCCTCTTGGTGGACCTTTTCCAGTTTCCAGAAGCAATATTTGTTTCCCTCCTCCAGGCTTGAATGGGTGAAGGCCCTGCCCACGCCTGGTACAGCTTAGCTGGGCCCATCCGTTCAGGAGAACTCTCTGAGGTGCTCCCTTGAGCCTTGAGTGAGGCCACACCCAACATTCAAGGGGCAGCCTTCCCAAGGTCAAGGTTTTCCATGGTATGACCATACCCCTTCCCAGTGCCACCTAGCAGTGAGGTATCTTCTCTGGCTGCAAGAATGCTGTGTCTTCATAGGTCTGTCCATTTTCTTATCTATTTAAGGTAGGATTAGGATTGGCTTTGAATAATAATTCCCTTTTATTAAGTGAATTCCCTGTTCACTTAACAGAAGTGAAAAGTCCATTTCTCTCATAAAAGTCCTGAGGCAGGAAGTCTATAGCTGGTATGGAGGTTTTATACAATCCTGAGAGACCCGGGCTCCTTCTCGCTTCTACAGCGAGAGTAGAGCTCGCTGCTCTACTCTCTTGTCCTCATGGTCTAAGATGGCAGCCAGAATGCCAGCTATCACAGCTGCATTCCACACAGCAAGACGGAGGAAGGATAAGGAAGAAGAGAGTTAATTGTACATGCCAGCTTACTTTTAAGTAAGATTCCTAGAATCTTGGCACATGACACTTCCGCTTGGTCATAGAGTCACATCTAGCTGCAAGGGAAGCTGGGATGGTCTTAATTCTAGGTTGCCATATGCCCAGCTAAAAACCAGGCATTGACCAGGTACAGTGGCTCATGCTTATAATTCCAGCACTTTAGGAGGCGGAGGTACAAGGATTGCTTGAGGCCAGGAGTTCAAGACCAGCCGGGGCAACATAGGGAGACCCTGTCTCTACAAAAATAAATTAAAAAAAAAAAAATCAAGCCTTGTTTACTGAGGAAAAGGGGAGAATGGACAGCTATCTCTTACACCTCATCCACTCAATAAACATTTTTTTTTTTTTGAGCTTCACTTTGTCACCCAGGCTGGAATGCAGTGGCATGATCTGGGCTCACCGCAACCTCCACCTCCCGGGTTCAAGTGATTCTCCTGCTTCAGCCTCCCAAGTAGCTGGAATTACAGGCATCCACCACCACGCCCTGGTAATTTTTTTTGTACTTTTAGTAGAGATAGGGTTTCACCACGTTGGCCAGGCTGGTTTTGAACTCCTGACCTCAAGCGATCTGCCCGTCTCAGTCTCCCAAAGTGCTAGGATTACAGGCGTGAGCCACAGCACCCGGCCTCAATCAACATTCATGAGTTATTCCTTGTACTTACCCACATTACAGTACTTACAGTATGATTAATAGCTTAGCATCTTGCGAGCACCGAACAGTGCCTGGCATGCAGTAAGTGCCTGTTAAGCAGTGGCCGTTATTATTAATGCATCAGCATGCTGTGATATAAACCAGGCTTCTGTAAGAGTGGGGAGGGGGGGCCTGGCCGGCAGAGGAGCAGGCACAGAAACGCACTCTAGGGGAAGGAGGTCCACCTGGAAAAGTAGGGTATCTTTCTTTACTGACCCTGGAGGGCTGGGCCACTGGCTTAGGAGTGGTCGGCCGGGCGTACCTTTTCAGGACCTTACCTCCCCTTCCTCCGCCCCTCCTACCCCTGCCTTCTCTGGAGAATGACTGATAACTGATCCTCACCAGCGAGCCAGTAACGATAACAGCCAAGTACAGGGCTCCCTGGGGTGCAGAGCGCAGCCTTATGTTGGAGAACATGGGTATTGGTGAAGGTGAGGGGCGAGTTCTAAAGGCCTCGGGAGCCGCCTGCAGCTCCAGGATACTCACACTGTCGCGGTTACACAATGACTTCTGAAACAAGAGGAGAATCAGCGTTATCTAGAACTTTCTCCCCTGACAGAACTTTCTCCCCTGACAGAATGGAGGTAGCAGGTACCTGAAGCCCTTCTGAGATGTTTTGGAGAAAGGAAGGCCCAGCCTCCAGGGACCACCCTCCAGGGCAGGACAAAGAGGAAGCCAAAAGCTGGACTCTGTGGCCCCCGTGGGCTCATGGAGGGAGAGAGGCTGGGGCGGTAGGCGCTTGGTGGTGGGTACCCTTGTCCTGTGTGATGTCCCTGCCGTCACCCTTTGGGGCTGTGGGAGGGCAAGTTGCTGCTGGCTGGTCCCCACTGCAGGCCTGGGAAGGCGAGCTAGGAGTCCTTCCTCACCGCCACTGCATGACAGGCCTGCATGAGGCCCCTGTGGGACACGGAGAACACCATTCCCACCAGGTGGGGATTGGCCCACAAGCCTCAGGACCCCTCCCCAGGATTCTCTGATGCACTCTCCATCCCTGGCCTGGGTATCCAGACAGCACCTCCTCCAGGAAGCCCTCACTGATTTCCCTGGCTGATGCCCACCCTCAGTGCCCCCACAGCCCTCCATCAGGGCATGGGTGGCTCTGGATCTCCACTGCTGCTCACCTGTCTGTCCCTGGCCCTCAGCTGATCCATCTTACAACCCCAGCCCTGCTCCCACTCCATGCATCTCCTGTGCCTTGCATGTAATGTGAGCTCAGTAGCTATACAGCAAGCAGTGAATGAGTGAATGAGCGAGTGAATGAATGAGTCCCCTGGCTGTCAGGGCTTGGATCCCCAAGCAAGTGGGGGAGGCCTGCAAGGGTTAACCGGGAGCCTGCCTGTGGTCTGAGGTAAGCAAGGAGTGTATTTGTTCAGGTAAATAAGGAAGGATTACTTATAATGGGAAATCGGGCCCTGGCCAGCTCTTCATCTCGCGGCTGTCTGACTTCCTCCCAGCACATTCCTGCACTCTGCTGCGTCCACACTGCCCCGCAGACCCAGTCCCCCAAGCCTGCTGCCACCCCCCTGCAAGCCCCTCAGGCTGGGCCTTGCCACAGTGCCAGCAGGTAGCCCTGGGCTGGGGGTAGGGGACTCCCTACAGGCACACAGCCCTGAGACCTCAGAGAGCCACCCGTTGAGGGTGGCCAGGCCCCCAGTAGCCAACGCGAGTGCTGCCTCTGCCACCAGGCCTGCTGGCCTCTGGTTCTGCTGGGCCCCCAGATGCCTGGCTGAGACACGCCAGTGGCCCCAGCTGCCCACACCTCTTCCTGGCCTCCGAAGTTGGTACTGCAGCAGACAGCTCCCTGGGCACCAGGCAGCTAACAGGTGAGTCTGATGGGAGGTGCAGGTACCCTGGCATGGGGACTTTCCCTGCCAGCTGTGGGGTGGGCGACTGCAAGCAGGACTTGGAGGGGGGCGCACTTTGCCAACTAGAGCTCACCTCCCAGTCATCAGTGACCCTGTGACCTGGGTCCCTTTACCCTCAGAATTCCCTGCCCCCCTCCTCATGCTGCCCAGACTGCCTCCCTGGGGCCAACTCCAGATGCTGGGTGAGCCCCCTTGCCTGGCAAGGCCTGGGATACCCCACACCGAGCCCAGCCTACCCAGCCTGAGGGAGGGGAGGCCGCTGTGCAGGTGCAGAGCCCCTGGCCCTGAGACCCGGCCAGTTCTGCTTGGCTAGCAAAACACAAGTGGCTTTGCAGCTGCTGCCAGCCCAGCTGTTCTGCCAGGAGAAGGGTCTCCCTGGTGTCGGGTCACCAGAGGGCAGGGGATCGCTGGAACCTGGTGGGTCAGGGCTGGAGCCAAGGCTGGGTCCAGGTCGGGGCAGGGGAGACAGGTCCAGAGTGCAGGAGCTGGGCTGGGCAGGGGTCGCCACAGGAGCCAGGGGTCTGTGGTCACTTCCGAGCACACCCTCTGAGCCCTTGGACACCGGGAGAAGCTGAGGGCCTTGGGTCCGGGTCTTGGCACACAAGGAAAGCAGCATTAGTGGTCCCTGGAAGGTGCTCATTTCCAAAATTTGTCAGATTCCTGCAGTGGGGAGACAGGAAGTGGGGGGTGGGATGACAGTGTGGGAAGCTGAAGGACCTGGGTGACTGGGTGACCCTGAGGCTGGCCACAGTGTGTGTGTGTGCTGTGTGTGTGTGTGTGCGTGCATGTGTGTGCGTGTGTGTGCATGCATGTGTGCGTGTGTGTGTGTGGGGGATGGACAGGCCCAGATCCCCCACCTCACCTATCATGATTCTGAGGCCACCCAGCAGCCCACACCCAGGCCCCAAGCCGCAAGTAGCCTGAGTCCTTTATGATGGCCATGGGCTTTCTCCTCCTCCTCAGCCAGGGCTGGGACTCACCTCATTTCCTGCCCCAGCCTCCCCAATAAAGCTGCATCTCTCCATCACCAGCTGCTCAGCTGAGTAACAAAGCAAACAGGCGTCCAGGCTGCCCCAGGCCCAAGCTGGTGGGCAGGGATGCAGAGGAGACGCCCCGCCAGATAGGTAGGCTCAGGCCATGGCTCAATCAGGCCAGTTGGGCTGAGCTTCCCCCCACCCACCCACAAGAGGGACCAGAGCCAAGGACCTCCAGCTTGGAGTCCCACCACCCCAACTCACAGACAAATGGTGGGGGGCATCCTCAGAGCTCCCAGGGAGGTGGGGCTGTGGAGGACGTGGTCTTACTGGGTAGGGGACCACCCTCCGCTTTGAGAGCCTGAGAGTGCACGTACAAACATTTCCTCTGAGCGAGGCCCCGGGCATGCAGAGCTGAAATCTACCAGACTTGTTTATTGCACACTATCAGTTATAAACACTTCGGTTTTCACAAGGACCTTCTGAATTAGACAGGGCTTCTCCGTCAACCAAGTCCGAGGGCATAGGCTGCACTCAGTAGGTGCTCAATCAATGCTCAGAAGATGTGATGCTGGTGGAAGTGCAAAGACTGGGACCCACTTTTCACCACCGAGGTGGTTGCAAGTATAAGGTGAATAGCCCTGAAACAATTAGAGCAGTTTTGTGCTAAGTGACTCGATGCCGCGGAGTGTAACCTGGGGAAGTTAATTCAGGCAGACAGGGGGACAGAGACCCTCTAGGTGGAGGGCAAGAAGGAATGGGTGAGGTCCCGCTGTGTGGGACCGTGGCGGGTCACTTTTCCTCACTGCACTTGCAACATCTTGTCTGTGAGACGAGAGGGTTAGACAAGGCTGTTGTCTATTAACGCAGGCTTCATGGAGGAGACGACCTGAGCGGGCTTTGAAGACGGTGTAGGAGTCAGATTTGCCAGCCTGTCTCCTGGGCTGGGGTGGGGGAAGTGGGAGGGGCAGGAATTCTTGGTTCTGGCTCCTCCTAGAGGGCAGGGAGGGTGGGTGACGCCTGCAGCTGCCTGGACTGGGCTAGAGAACAGGACAGGGCCCCGGCCTCCCTCACCGCCATCCTCAGCTCCCCCAGACTCCACCCGCTACCTGCCGTCTCTGCCTGCTTCTTCCTTTGCTCCCCCTGCTTCCTCACCCCATTCCCTCTCTCTTTTCTCTTCTCTAGCTGATCCCCTCACCTGCTCCCAGGGCCCCCCTCACACAGGCACGCTCAGCCCATCATAAATGCTTTCCATTCACCCTCCGTCTCAACCTCCACAACCCTTTAAGACATGCTCTTGGCAGCCCATTTAACAGACAGCACAGCTGAGTCTCAGGGGGCGGAGTCACTGGCCCCAGCCGCAGAGCTAGAGAGCAGAGCGTCAGGGATCAAACCTGGTCTGGGACCCTCCCCTGGTCCCCACCCCCACCCCATTCATGCCCCACCCTGTGCCCCCAGCCAAGCGAGTGGCCTGTCAGGTGGAACAACTCTTCCCAAAGCAAACTTTGCACAAGCCGAGTTGCCCTGGGCTCTTCCTGACATTTAGCGCCAGGCTCCTTCTCTTGGCTACTTTGCGTGTTTTCAGCCTGGGAGGCGCCCCCTGCCAGATTCTGCTCTCCCACCTCTCAGTGGCCGGGGTGGGGACATGGAGGGGGGCCTCCAGGCTTGGGGAGGGAGAGGCTTATCCTTCCTCCCCAGCCGGGGACCTTAGTGTGACTCTGCTGGGGGTCGGATGGGACCAAGGCCTCCCCGGGATTATGACAGGCAGTGAGGTATCTCTGAGCACCACCAGGACCACAGCCCCCTCCTCCTCCCTCCAGCTCCGGCACACGGGAGAGGTGGCTGGAGGGACTGCCCAGGCTGGGGCTCCAGCGCCTGAGACTGGTTGGGGGGCAAGGCCCAGGCCTCTCTGCTCCTGGGGTAGCAAGTTGCCCTGAGGGCTGCTGGGACCTAGCTCCTTCTGCCCGGCCCACCCTCTGTGCCAGGACATAAGGGGGATGTGTCTCTGCTGATACTTCACAGGTGGGAGCGGCCCTGATAACCCCAATAACCCGCTCCTGCACATCTCAACCTTGTAGGAAGCAATGTCTATTCTTAGCCTCCAGGACAGATCTTTCTGAACTTTTCTCGTCTGTGATGTTGGAGTCCTTCGCTTTGTTCTAACATCCCTTTCCTAGCTTGGAGGTGTGCCCCAGGGCCTGGGGATCAGGTCTCAGGTAGGATTTTCCCCTCAGCTCATCAAGATTTTACAGATCAGCAACCAGGTGTGAGGGGGGCCTCTGCCTTCCTGGCCTTTGCTGGGTCTGGAGGGGGCCGCAGAAACAGATAAAGACAGCGGTAACCACTGTGGACACACACCTCTTGGGAGATGGGAAGGCTTTTCACATCGCCGTGCTGCCTGGTGACTTCAAAACCCAGAGGCACAGCTGTCTTTATGAGTCCCCATTTCACTGCTGAAGAGGCTGAGGCTGAGATCAGCCAGGGTGCCATAGGCAGGAGGGGCAGCGCTCCGGGGACATCCCTGTGTTCTCATGCCCTCAGCAACTCGGTGGCCTGGCTGGGCAGGGCCGAGGAGAGCTACCCAGGAAACCTCACGGCCCCTGTCCTGTGGCAGGTTGGGAGGTGTGGTGTATACAGGGCTGGAGGAGAGCAGAGAAGAGGGAAGGTGCTGTGGCCGTCCTTCAAGGAGTGTACGTGCGACGTGGGTGTGAGGACGAGAGTGTTCCAGAGGGGCAGCCATGTGACCTGGGCCACATCACAAAGTTGGGATGTGTGTGCAGTTGGCGGGGCCATGACAGCCTTGGTGGGGCAAAGAGGCCTGACTGGGGCACTGAGAAGTGAAATATATTTACACACACATGGGCTCAACCAGGGCTGAGGGAAGATGTGAATGACAGTTTCTGGAAAGTCCTGAAAGTTGAGAGGAATTGTACTTGCGATGGTAGGAAACCGGGTTCTCTCCCATCAGCGCAACTAACTGCAAGCCTCAAGCTTGTCTGGGGTGGGGTCCCTCCTGGCTGGAGGAGGCAGGGAGGTGCTGCTGCTGGGGAGGGAGCCAGGCCTGACGGGCAGCTCATGAGGTGCAGGACAGCCTGAAGCCAGCTCTGCTTCTTTAGAAGGGTGGGCCAAGTCTTTCAGAGCCTCTAGACACCAACCCTAGGGACAGTGGGGGACACCCAGCCACACCCCTCATCCTGCCAAAAGTGTCAGCTGTTTACAAGGAAGCCCCAGGTGTCCCCTTCTGCATCTCCACCATCCTTTAAGTGCCCAAAGCCAGGCTGACAGCAAGATGAGGGTCCTGGGTCATAGCATCCAGACAGTGCCCGGGCTGGAAAAGTCCTCAGAGATGCCCTGCCCTACAGAGCAGGAGACTGAGGGGCAGGGCCTCACCCAGCGTCTCCTACAGAGGAACAGGCAGGGCATGAACTGCATCTCCCAAAGCTGAGGGCTCTAGTTCTTGCAGCTCACATCCCCCATCAGAGCAAACTCAGCTATGATGGCCCGCCTGGGGCTGCGGTGGGCCTCTGTACCTCCAGGCTGTGGGCACCTGTGCCACCCACACCCCACCAAGGTGACCGCTGTGGGGCTGGGTTGGCAGATGGCCTGAGGGGAGGCAAAAGGGATGGTCAGCAGGGGCCACCTTAGGAGCTGGAAGGCTTGGGGCCTGCCAGCACCAGCAGAAAGGAGGGTGGAGCCACGTCTTGAGTTCGGGTCCCTGCTCGCTCATGCACTGACGGGCGCCCTGTAGCAGGCCACAGCGCCCTTTTCCGTCAAGTGGGAATAATGGTGGCTGCCCCAGCTGGGAGAGCCTGGCGAAGCAGTCCATTCAGTGTGACCTTCCTCTTGTCCCAGAAAGCGCTGGAAGTGGTGTCAGTGAGGGTGTGTGTGGACACCTGGGCTGCCGAGGCAGCGGCGCACGGAGGAGACTTCGCTGATGTGGATGTGTTCCTGCTGCCTGTGGGAACTGTGGGAAGAGCAAAACCC